GGGGGGGGGGGATCTCGCTTTCCAACTTCAAGTTCTACTACAAAGCCACAGTAATCAAGACAATTTGGTACTGGCACAAGAACAGACCCATAAACCAGTAGAACAGGATAGACAGTCCAGACACTAATCCAAGCATATATGGTCAATTAATATACGATAAAGGAGCAATGGACATACAGTGGGGGAAATGACAGTCTCTTCAACAGATGGTGCTGGCGAAACTGGACAGCTACATGTAAGGGAATGAAACTGGATCACTGTCTAACCCCACACACAAAAGTAAATTCAAAATGGATAAAAGACCTGAATGTAAGTCATGAAACCATAGAACTCCTAGAAAAAAACATAGGCAAAAATCTCTTGGACATAAACTTGAGCGTCTTCTTCATGAACATATCTCCCTGGCAAGGGAAACAAAAGCAAAAATGAACAAGTGGGACTGTATCAAGCTACAAAGCTTCTGTACAGCAAAGGACACCATCAATAGAACAAAAAGGTACCATACAGTATGGAAGAATATATTCATAAATGACAGATTCTATAAAGGGTTGACATCCAAAATATATAAAAAGCTCATGCACCTCAACAAACAAAAAGCAAATAGTCCAATAAAAGAATGGTCAGAGGAGCTGAACAGACAATTCTCCAAAGAAGAAATTCAGATGGCAAGCAGACACATGAAAAGATGCTCCACATCGCTAGTCATCAGAGAAATGCAAATTAAAACCACAATGAGATATCACGTCACACCAGTAAGGATCACCACCATCCAAAAGACAAACATCAACAAATGTTGGTGAGGTTGTGGAAAAAGGGGAATCCTCCTTCACTGCTGGTGGGAATGTAAATTAGTTCAACCATTGTGTGAAGCAGTATGGAGGTTCCTCAAAAAGCTCAAAATAGAAATATCATTTGACCCAGGAATTCCACTTCTAGGAATTTACCCAAAGAATGCAGCAGCCCAGTTTGAAAAAGATAGATGCACCCCTATGTTTATTGCAGCACTATTTACAATAGCCAAGAAATGGAAGCAACCTAAGTGTCCATCAGTAGATGAATGGATAAAGAAGATGTGGTACATATACACAATGGAATATTATTCAACCATAGGAAGAAAACAAATTCTACCATTTGCAACAACATGGATGGAGCTAGAGGGTATTATGCTCAGTGAAATAAGCCAGGTGGAGAAAGACAAGTATAAAATGACTTCACTCATATGTGGAGCATAAGAACAAAGCAAAAACTGAAGGAACAAAACAGCAGCAGAATCACAGAGCCCAAGAATGGACTAACAGTTACTGAAGGGAAAAGGGCTGGGGAGGATGGGTGGGAAGGGAGGAAAAAGTATGGGGAAAAAGAAAGGGGGCATTATGATTAGCATGTACAATATAAGGGGGGTGCATGGGGAAGGCTGTGCAACACAGTGAAGACAAGTAGTGATTCTACAGCATCTTACTACACTGATTAACAGTGATGGTAATGGGGCGTGTGGGAGGGACTTGCTGAAGGGGGGAGCCCAGTAAACATAATGTTCTTCATGTAATTGTAGATTAATGATAACAAAAAAATTACAGTAAGCCATTTCTCTAAAGTCTTGACAGCTCCAGTTTTTTAATCTTCTCTGCTCCATCCACTTGGTTATTGGTTAACCGTTACCTTACATACCTGATTTTATGTGTTGCTTTGTTTCTCTCTCAGACATTGAAAAAGAAACAAAACAAAGTAACAATAACTTGAAGCTCTGAATGATGGTATCTTTCTCCAGAGAGGTTTTACTTTTGCCTCTGGCAGGCAGCCAGGGTGGGAGCAGATTCCTCTTTCTAATTGGGATTGACATGAATTCTGAGTTGTCAGTTCTTGTGGGGACTGGTTTATTTCTGATTTGCCTTATATCTTCTTATGTAGCCTTTGAGATCCCAACCAGAAGCCTGAGGTTTTGTTAGGATCCCTCAACTTTGGAAAGCTCTGATTCTGTTTTGTCTCTTCAGCCCTGTGAGACTGGTGAAAGCTTCTCTTAGCCTCTCAACTGCAGCTTTCCACGTCTAAGTGGCAGTCACCTGAGGGAAAATGTAGACCTAAATGTAGGCTCATCTCTGGGAGGGAAAATGTAGACCTAAATGTGGGCTCATCTCTGGGCTTCTACTTCTCTGTCTTGTCTCCACAGTGTCTCACTGCTTTAGTAACTCTTTCATACCACCATACCTTCAAACAGATGTATTTCTTATTTTCTTCAGCATTTTCTGCTTGTCCTCAGCAGGTGGTTGCTCTGGAACACCACAGTAGGCCTTTGCCACATTTCATTGTAAAGTTCCCACTACTGATGGAGCCTGTGACCTACTGCAACATGTACACTCACTGACACTAACAGTTGCATATTCTCTTGTGAGTAGTTAGCAGCCCCCTATAGATGTGTGATGTTTGAATATGTAAGTTCTCAGAAGTAGGTCTCAGGAAGGGGAGACTAAATATGAATGTTCTTTACATGGATGCCTCATTGAAAGAATTGGTAGTGAATAGTGAATATAGTGTGATCAGTCCAGATGACAGCTCTCATATTTGGAGTAAGTGGTAGCATCGTTATTTGACTCGATTTAATTTTTCCAGAGGAACACTAGTAAATACCCAAATCTACAGCTGTGTAAATTAGAAGTTCTAGCTTTGATATTGTAAATCATTACCAGCATTCAACTGGTACTAATTATAGAGAGTGAACAGTCCTCTGACCTCTTTGTGTGTGGCATTGGTGTCTCCATTTGTCTTAACAGGACATACTGTCTTCCAAAGCAGAAATATTTACAGTGGCCTTAAATTGCCAAGCCTCAAGCTTGCATTTCTAGCTTCTTTTCCCTTTTAATATACCTCATAATTAAGGCAAACCAAAATGTCTCCTAAGAGCACCTAATACTGATACTTTCCTGCTTCCTTACCTTTCCATGTTCTGTTCTCCATCTGGAATGACATGTCCATCCCACTGCAAGCCTTTTGTTTGTTATACTTCTAAATGTAAATCTTTTATCATGTCTGTGTTGTATGTGTATGCACAGTCTATGAAGTAGAGAGAAAACACTTTTCACCTAATTGTTGAACTGGATTATTCTCAACCCTGGCTAGTCAGGTATGGATGGCTGTATGGATAATTGTCATGTAACAGTAAATACCATAGATGTTGCAAAAGTCACATGTCACGGTAGCATATTTTTTAAATTTAATAAAGTAAAACTGAAAATTTAATGAAAGCCAGACTAAACAACTTACTGGCCTATCTTCCCTGGAACAGTTTCTGAATTTACTTTATCATTTCCATGGACTAATACAGAGTGAACTTGTATGCATCAGAGCTCGCTCTCAGCCATTACTGCATATGACGTTCCACTCTTCAGGATATGCAGAAAGCACACTCATTCCTCTGCCATTTGTTAGCATTTCATTACTTTTTCCAACTTCATTCCCCATAGTTAATACTGGCAATTGACTCACTTTTCAGAAGCCCCTCTTCACAAAGAAATGTTTTTTAGTCACTTGAAAAGGAGACTTTATATACAGTGATGGATTAGAGCCACATAACTATGTTGAAGGTGAGATCCTACGTTAGTTTGTAGTGTCAGTCACATGACTTGTGTTTGGCTTTTAGCTCTGGAAGAGAAGGGGTCCCAGTGCCTCACCCTTCTCCAGCCCTGCCTTATCCTTCTCACAGACAGCAGAGAGGCCAGCAAAGAAACTAAGGTAATCGATGATTTGCTGTGTGGATTAATGAGAGGGTAGGAAAGGAGGGAAATTTACTTGGCTCTTAGGCTTTCTGAGACTCTGATTTGGAGAATCAAAGCGGTTCACATCTAAAGGGCAGAGACGGTACCGCCCTGAATTCCTCTCATCTCTTGCATTTGTCACATACTAACCACACTGGCCTCTGCTCCCCCTCATGCTGCAGCATGAGGGGCTGGGGTGTAAGGGGAAGGGCTGCACAGGACAGAGTGAACAGAGTGACTGAAGGGAGTGGGCAGCAGTGGTCACATTCTAGACCCAAACTGATCCTCTAGGTGACCGACTAGAATGTCACTTTCTTAGAGATAGAGGTGTGACTAGAACTGTTGAAAATTTGGCAGGTTGTAGGTAAGGTTCTGAAGATTGTTTTGTGCTTGTTTTAAGACAAAGGTGTCTCTGTGGCTTCTGTGAGCTACCTCCCTTCATTTCTTTAGGAAACTTCTTTGACTTCTTTTTTGTTGTTGTCTTGGCACACTAAGATCTTAGTCATGGTTGTTCTGGACTTTGGCCAGTTAGTAGTTAGGAGTGTATAAGAAGTTATCCAGTACTTTTCTAAACTTAATTGTGCCTCTTCCTCCTACAGAGAAGAGGAGCTTTCTCATCATTCTGGCTCTTCAGCTCCATTGGTAACAGACAAGGAGTCCCAGGGAGAACAGAGTAAGTTGATGAAAGTGTGGCATGTGTTGATGGTAGTGTGTACAGAGCGCACATAGACTACAACCCACTGGAAACATGTACTGGGCCTTGATTTGTGTGGGGCCTCATAGTTTCAGAGATAGACGTTCCTGTCCTTTGGGCTTTATGGTCTGGAAAGGGAGAAAGGTGGCCCAGACTCGTATAGCATAACCCAGGCCACCTGGGGGGCTCGGGGTAAGGTAAGCCTAGGTGAGGGAATCTGAGCAGTCCAGGCAATTTCTGTCCAGTAAGCAACCATGTGCACACATTTGGAGCAATTACCACCTCATGTCTTCTTGACTGTTAGAAATAATCTTGCCAACACCATCCAAGAGCCCAAACCATGGAAGGTAGAATCTCAGAGACACCTAGTGAAAGTTCAGTATTAAAAACTAGGCTGGATAGAGAAACCTCTCCATTTCTGGAAGAGAGGAGGAAGAAAGTAAGTCTGATTCTTCAGTTGCAGATACAACCACATGTAGGAAGCAGAACTCCTGGGATTCTCCATCTACACCCATCAACTCCTGGCCACACAGAAGGTTCAACTGTTGCCCTCCAGACGAGGGATCCCACTGATCCTGGTATGGTCTGTCCATCCACCCCTGCCCACCACAGCCTGGCTCCCCTGAGTCATAGGAATGGAAGGGTCAGTACAGGTTTCTTTCACTTCCTTCTGACTGACTTGGCTTCTCCTTTTTCTCCTGGTAGCCTCCATCTCCCCTGCTTGGTTATTCAATCACTGCTGAAGACCTAGACTTGGGAAAGAAAGCTTCATTACAATGGCTTAACAAGGTCTTGGAGGATAAGACTGGTAAGGAATATAGGTTAATTTCACACTCCAGAGAAGGTTTCCTTTGATTTTATTTTGGTCTGTCTCCTGAGAAATCCACCTCTTGGGTCCTCAGTAGAATCCGAGAAAAGTGAGCATTGAGATTGAGAGGAAGCATTTCTACATGAGTTCTCCCAAGTCCCTGAGCCTCCCCTTGCTCTGCGATTACCCTGGAAAGAATTCTCCTACAAGGGAGGACAATCCTTTCTTTCTTTCTTCCTTAGAAACTGCCTTGAGCTCTGTCACTGAGAACCCACCTGCCACTCCACCAGCTTTTACTCTCACCCTGCCTGCTGCTGAACTGCTGCTTCTTCAGCCTCCCTCCCAGCCCCAAGTACTAACCCGCTGTTTCTCCCCAAGTATATTATCGTCGCGAAGAAGCCAAACTCCCTGGGCCTACCATCTTTCCCAGGTGAAGGGAAGAGCTTTCTGTGGAGCACACAGTGCCATCAGCCTCTGCTTAGGCTAAAGTGAAAGCAGCGTGCCAGTCAGTCACTAAAAAGGTTGAAGCTGCTTTAGCTTAGCACACCTGAGCTGGTGCAACCCTGAGGGCTTCAGAACCCTCTCATCAGGAGCAGATTGTAGGGAAGGGGCTGTCGCCCTTAAAGCTGGAGAGAGCAGCCTCATTTTTGTAGTCACATGGCTGTTGGTTTGCAGCCCCATTCCATAGCTGCTCTGAGCTGTGCTTGATTTCAGATGATTGGATTTTCCTTAGTGTCCACACATTTAACCCCTGGTAGGCCAAGTTTTATCCCCTGCTCTCTGTCTTATGATCTGTGAAGGGTAGAAATAAGGAGCACTTCCTTGATTTTGGGAAATGAATATATTAAGAACTTGTGGTATAGATTAGTCATATTTGTTGACTCTTGAATGCCTGGCCCAACAAGCCTTCTAGAACACCAAATACCATCACATTTGAGATGCCAGGGCCCCTCCCAGGCATTTCCTGAGACATCTTCCAGACCCACAGCCACTTTCTCGGGGCTGACCCCTGCCTCTCCCACAATACCAGCCACTGATGCCACTAAGTCACCTCCAGCCCCTCAGGCTGAGACATCTTCCAAGCCCCAGTCCTCGCTTGCCCCAGGCCCCACCCTGGAGCCCAGTGTTTTGTTTGGAATGCTGAGCAGCCCACCTGCTAACCGGTCTGCCTCTGCAGCTCTGGCTGTGTCCAGCACTTCCCATGTTCAAGCCATCTTTGTGGCTCCACCTAAAAATGGGATTGAGGGCCCTGTGCCATCCAGCCCTTCCCATGTCACAATGGTAGCATCTTCCAGCTCTGCCCCCACCCCAACTACCAGAAGCTTGCCCTTGCTTTGAGTCCTGTCTTTAGTAGCACAGTGCTACCTACATCTTTGCCCTTCTCAACTCCCTTCAGTCAAACAACTACTTCACGCATTGTCACGAGTGCCCCTCTGTTCCCTGACCAGGACAGCATCAGTGTCCCCTCAGCAGCGGCTTCTGGGACCACCACTAGCACAGCCTCAGACTCTGCCTGTCTTTGGCTTTGGGGCGAGCAGCGTGACCAGCACTGCAAGCAGCATGACCAGCTCCATGGCTTCCACTGCCCAGCCTGTCCTCTTTGGGTCCCCCCACCCTGCCTCTGGGGCCAGCTTTACCCCAGCCATGGGCTCCATACTCCAGTTTGGCAAGGGGCCTTCCATGCCTGCTCCAACAACAGCCATCACCTTTGGCCAGTCCCTGCCCAGCGCCATCCAGATTGGCAGCAGTACTGCCGGTTTCAGTGGCTTTGGTTGCACCCTCACTACCTCAGCCTCCACCGCCCCCAGCCAGCCTGCACTGATATTCAGCAGCACTACCACCCCAGCCTTCAACATTCCCTTTGGTTCCGGCACTGGGCCGCCTGTTCCATGCTATCCCAGAGGCACCCAGCAGCCCACTTTTGGGGCCACTGATGGACAGCAGACAGGGCGGCCAAGTTAGCCCTGGCCCCCAGCTTAGGCAGCTCCTTTCCTTTTGGAAGCTTAGCAGCCCCAGCCCCACCTGTAGCTCCAGCACCGATCCCACCCCAGCCAGCCTCTAGCAGCACTGCATGGTCAGGTTTTCATGGGTTGAAACCTGCAGTATTTGTCTTTGGCAACCCCTCCAGCACCCAGCCAGCCTTTGGCAGCACCACAGCTGTTTCCTCCTTTTTTGCAGCCACCACCTCAGGCTTTGGAGCTATGACCCAGACCACCAGCAGTGGGGCCAGTAGCTCAGTCTTTGGCAGCACCACCTCATCACCCTTCATGTTCGGGCAGTCAGCAGGCCCTGCTGACATTGGGGGCTTTGGGATGAGCATGCTTGTCCCCCCACAGCAGCTCTACCACTGGAACATTCAGCTTTGGAGCAGGACAGAGTGGGACCACTGGCAGCATGGCCCCTTTTGGGTGAGGCTTGAGTCAGAACTCCCTGGGTGCACCTGACCAGAGCACACCCTTTGCCTTCCACATGGCCAGCACACCTCAGAACACGTGTGTTTGCAGGTCTGATTTGGAATGGGCTCAGTATGTAGTGCCAGGTGCTGTTTTACATGCCAACAAGGTCTCCACTCTCAGAGCTGTACATTGTGGTGAAGAGACCTATGTTATCCATAAACAATATGAGGTAGCGGTGTAACTCATGACTGGAGGAGCCATTTAGGTAGTCAGTGGCAGCCTTTCTGAGACAATAGCAAACTGAGGCCATGGCCACAGTACCCAAGTTGGGAGTAGGGACAGCACCTGGGTGTGAGGATGTTGCAGGCACAAGAGCAAAGGCCTGAAGGCAGAGATGAGCCTGACATGTTCCTGAGCAGACAAGAGCCAGGTGTGGCCAGAGGCTTAAAAAGCAAAGTGGGATAAAATGACATTAATAGACAGAAGGGAAGATCATTATGGCCATTTAAAATGTTTTTGTTAAAGTACTAAGGGCAATCACTATAGAATTTCAAGCAGAAAGAAGTGATTTTATTTGCCATGTGGAAGATGCATGATAAGGAGTTTTGACCCTGATAGCTGCCATTTTCTTCACTGAATATAAGAGCCCTTCAGAGCATGTTAGGGGGAGATTGTACCAAGGAGGGCCTCTCTCAGTAGTCATTTTGGGGAGGGGGTGAAAATGACGTGTGAGAGCCATGCCGGGCAGTTTTGAAGTCTGGGAAATTGTGGTTAGGAATTTGAAACAAGGCTAGTCAGCACTGTTTCGTGTGTCTCCCCAGCAACATTCAGTTTTGAGGTGTGGACCTGAAATAAGTGGATAGAGAGTAAATCCAGCCTGGTTAAATGGCACAGGGAGCAGGAGGGGTGGGGGGCTGACTACAGACCCCGGTGAGGCAGAGGATCTGGATTGGGTGTGGTCAGCACAGGGAGCAGGGACAGCACTGTGCTTGCAGTTGAGATCGGGGGGCAAGAACAGTTCCTGGTTGTGATAAGGTGTGACTCCAGAGACTGGGTAGGGGGAGAAGATTATGTGCAAAGTCAGCACCTCAGGGGGCACCCACCCTACTTCAGGCCTAGACAGATAGATACGTGTGAGAGAATCTTCCTGCAGCGCTGCTGTGGAGGGCAGCCCAGTGCTGGGCAGGAGGCCCCAGGAGGGCAAGTGTGTGCAGGAGACCGAGTTGGAGTGAGCCCCCGGGAGGATGGAGGCTGACTCTGGGCGGGGCCTTGGTGAATTAGAGGAGAGGGGGCAGGTAAACGGGGAGGAGACATAACATTAGTCCTGAGAGAAGGGCGGCCCGCTGTCCCCCTCAGCTGTGCTTTGGTGGCCAAGGGAGTGCAGAGGTTCTACTCAGGTGGCCAAAAGGCAGCTCAGGGACTTGTGCTCTGCTGCCGCTGGTGGGGGAGGGGCAGGCTCACCTGGAGCACAGGGCTTAGGACCCAGTCACCCCATGTGCTTCCTTACCAAGGGGTGAGCCAGACAGTGGTGCGGGCTAAGGGATCCTGTGGGGATGCGCTTGCAAGCAGACCTCCCCCCAGTTTATTACCACTTGCTTTGACACCTTCTGCTTGTGGGCCTAGTTGTCACAGTTCCTTGTGGTCTCTCCATTCCAGGTACATTCACACCCACCTTTGGTCAGAACACCCCTGCCCCTCTGAAAGGTTCCCTGAAGAACCTTTCGGAGGAGTGCTCTGAAAGGTTGGCAGTTCCTCCTTTTAAGGATTCCTCAGGAATGTGACTAAGGGCTGGGGGTGCAGACCTGTTAGGTGGTCTTTGAATACTTAGAATTAAATTAACACAAGGAACTTCCTGCTCTGATTTCTCCCTGGGATCCCAGCTTTCTTGGTCTGGGAGTGTATCAATCAAGGCTGCCTGCCCAGCTCCCAAGGTGGGCTGAGTTATTGTCTGTTTGCTAAAGAGTTAAGTTAAGAATCTTATTTCTTAACTTCCTGGGCATTAAAACACAATCTTCTTTTTAAGGTGGAATCCTTCCTGCCTATTACTATATTATTTATGCTGGGCTTGCTAGCCATTATTAATTGTCCAGATTGCAAACTATTTGATTAGGGCCAAAGGAGAAAAAAAACAGCATATAGGTAAAGTTAAAAAAAATAAGTGGGGCCTGCATGATTAACACAATAAAGCCATGGGCTCTGCTGAGGTACCCTCCTTTCTCTGGGGAATATTCAAACATTCCAGGCCAAGTTGCTTCTGGCTTTTTGAGCTTTAACTGATTGACTATGGGTCTTTTTTAATGGGCTTTTTCCTGGCCTTATTCTCTTTCCATTCTCTTTCCCACTCATATCTTTCCTGCCTAACAGGGTGGGGTCCCTTCCCCTGGGAAAGAACAGGCTCATAAGCACAAGAAAGATGTGACCTCACTCACTGACTGTCTGCCTCAGCTGAGGTTTGTTGGATAGGCAGCAGAGCTCAGAGAGGAGCCGTTTCTGGCAGAACGTTTCCCACACTACTGTAAAGCCAGGTAAAATACCTTCCTGGGCCTCTCGCCTCCCAAGGAACTCAACCTGGGAAACCCTGTTGAAGAACCCAGTGTTCTGCTGGCCTGGCACCCAGAGAAGCAGTCTCTGGTAGTAGCTGCCCTGATGAGGTCTTGTTGACATTCCAGGATCACCAGCCACATCCTTTTCCATTGGTGCAGGATCCAGGACCCCAGGGGCCCAAGAGCAAACGCAGTCCTAAAGGCAGCATATCCACAAGAAACAACCTACTCGCTTGCCACCACCCACATCCACACCCACAACCTAACATCCACTGCCACGCCCACCCCCATCACCACACCCCCATCTCCACCCCCACTGAAGGGTCCCCACCAGTAAGATGGCAAACTTCCGGCTTCTCTTCGGGGTCCTCAGTTCCCGCCGGCGCCACCTGAAGCCCAATCACCTCTCGCCCCCCTCCCAATCCCAGCACCTAGCCAACAGCCACCAGCCCCATAGAAGTGACACCTCAATCAATTCATGCCCCCTCCTATATAACCCAGCACCTTTCCCTAATAAAGCGGAACTCTCTGGTGAATTGCTGCTATGTGTCACTCCTTTCCTTTCACCCACCACCACTCTGACCCTAACTCCCAACCCCAATGCCCTCGCACCCCCACCCCCACCCCAGACCTGTGACCCAAATCCAGACTTCAGCTCCTCCTGGGAAAAGCCTCTGACCTGTTCCATAAAGCAAACTGACCATAGCATATCTCTGGCTTCAGCTTGCAGGGAGGGAGAGGCAGCCCTAGAGGCCATTGCCCTCTCCTGGAGGAAGCAGAGCCTCAGGCTTTCTGCAGGAGGGGAGGCAGGATGTGGCAGAGCAGAAGCCTGATTGATACCTTTCTTGAATGGTTCCACTGGTGAGGCTGGAAAGAATCAAGAAACATCTGTAATATGGTCCACTTTACTTCCCCAACTCAGTATATAAATGGCCTCCCTCTCCCCACCTGCCAGAGCCGTCTTCGCTGGAGGGTGGCGGGTCCAGCCCTGGCCCACCTGCAGCAGCCCTCGTGTGCATCTGATGGGGTCAGGGAAGTGGGTTGTCCCTAAAGTTTTACCATGCTTGGCCAGCAACTAGTTGTCCTCTCGTCTCTTAAGGGGACTTTTGTTTCCCCATTTCTTGCTGCTCTGCCTCTCACTGGGTCCTTGCAGGATCTCTTTTTAAATGATTTTGAATCTGGGTTTGCCTTGGAGACCCCTGTGGGTGGTACCACCTGTGCTGTTCTGCTTCCTCCTGCCAAGTCCACGTCAGTGTTTTGTCCCCAACCCTCTGCCAGTTTAGCCCCTAAAAGCTTGGTGGCTCGAGACTGTTAGCCTGGCAGATCCTGGGCAGATGCCTTGATCCAAGGCTGGAAGCCCTTGGGGCACGCAGGGTGCCCACCACCACTTTCAGCTGCCACCTGGCCCACCTTGCCTACTGGCCTCACCAGGCTCAGCTGCCTCTCTGTATTGTAAAGCTTTGTCCTGTTACTTTGTCTGATGCTGATGTCTATTGCTCTTTGAATTGAGTTTGGAGGAAGAATCAAATTGTATGAGTGGTGGCATGTTGGTAATGCCAGACTTAACTGTGTCAGGTTTCTGGTGCCTAGAATTGAATGTGGAAAGTAGCACCACTTTACAGCTATTAAATGGTGTTTGACTTTAAGGGCTGGCAGCCCAGGAGAATGGGACAGAGGGGAAGCAAAGACCTTTTCCCTCTGCTGTTGCTCCCACCTACCTGAACTCACTGTAGGCCAATTGCCCCGAGTATGTGTTAGAAAACCACACTTAAAAATCCTTAAGGAGCCAGGATGGTGGCGTGAGTAGAGCAGCAGAAATCTCCTCCCAAAACCACATATATCTGTGAAAATATAACAAAGACAACCCTTCCTAAAATAGAGACCAGAGGACACAGGACAACATCCAGAACACATCCACACCTGCGAGAACCCAACACCTCGCGAAGGGGGCAAGATACAAGCCCCAGCCCTGCGGGACCCAAGCACCCCTCCCCCTGGCCCCTGGTGGGTGGAGAGGAGTCAGCAGGGAGGGAAAGAGAGCGCAGGACTGCTGAACACCCAGCCCCAGAATTCCGGACCAGAACGCAGACACAGTGCATACGTGGGGTCCTCGATACTAGAGAAACAGGGCGGCAGGACCGATGAGCGGGTGCCTGAGGCTGATGCTGGAGAACAAAGAAATGGGAGCGGTTTTTTTTTGTTGTTTTTTTTGGCGAGTGCTTTCTGGAAGCCTTAAAGGGACAGGGACCTCAATACTAGCGAAACAGGGAGCAAGACCGGTGAGCGGGTGCCTGAGACTGGTGCCTGAGGACAAAGAAAATCGCGTGTTTTTCCCTTTTTTTTTTGGCAAGTGCTTTTTGGAAGCCTTAAAGGGACAGGGACCCCAATACCAGGGAAACAGGGCAGCAAGACAGGTTAGCGGGTGCCTGAGACCGGCGCCTGATGACAAAGAAAATCGTGCGTTTCCCCCCCCCCCTTTTTTTTTTTTCTCTCTTTCTTTGTTGCTGTTGTTGTTTTGGTTTGGAGAGTGCTTTTTGGAAGTCTTAAAGGGGCTGGACAGGACACAGCCCAGAGGCAGGGAATCTGGGGATCTCTGGGCACTCTAACCCACTGGGCAACAGAGAGCACAGAGGCCCTTTACGGAGATAAATAGCCTCTCGGCCGCTCCCCCTCCAATGGGGCTCCACCATTTTGGAGAAGCAGCCCCAAACAGGCCACGCCCACAGCAACAGTGGAGATAAACTCCAAACCAACCGAACAGGTAGCTGAAGCCCTGTCTGCATGCAGCTGCAAAGCATAAGCCACTAGAGGTCGCTATTCTCCCAGGAGAGGAAGGCCACAAACCAACAAGAAGGGAAGCTCTTCCAGCGGTCACTCGTACCAGCTCTGCAAACTATCTCTATCATCATGAAAAGGCAAAACTATAGGCAGACAAAGATCACAGAGACAACACCTGAGAAGGAGACAGACCTAACCAGTCTTCTTGAAAAAGAATTCAAAATAAAAATCATGAACATGCTGACGGAGATGCAGAGAAAAATGCAAGAGCAATGGGATGAAGTCCGGAGGGAGATCACAGATGTCAGGAGATCACAGAAGTGAAACAAACCCTGGAAGAATTTATAAGCAGAATGGATAAGATGCAAGAGGCCATTGAAGGACTAGAAACCAGAGAACAGGAACGTATAGAAGCTGACATAGAGAGAGATAAAAGGATCTCCAGGAACGAAACAACACTAAGAGAATTATGTGACCAATCCAAAAGGAATAATATTCGTATTATAGGGGTACCAGAAGAAGAAGAGAGAGGAAAAGGGATAGAAAATCTCTTTGAAGAAATAATTGCTGAAAACTTCCTGAAACTGGGGGAAGAAATAATCAAACAGACCATGGAAATACACAGAACCCCCAACAGAAAGGATCCAAGGAGGACAACACCAAGACACATAATAATTAAAATGGCAAGGATCAAGGACAAGGAAAGAGTTTTAAAGGCAGCTAGAGAGAAAAAGGTCACCTATAAAGGAAAACCCATCAGGCTAACATCAGACTTCTCGACAGAAACCCTACAGGCCAGAAGAGAATGGCATGATATACTTAATGCAATGAAACAGAAGGGCCTTGAACCAAGGATACTGTATCCAGCACGACTATCATTTAAATATGATGGTGGGATCAAACAATTCCCAGACAAGCAAAAGCTGAGGGAATTTGCTTCCCACAAACCACCTCTACAGGGCATCCTACAGGGACTGCTCTAGATGGGAGCACCCCTAAAAAGAGCACAGAACAAAACACACAACATATGAAGAATGGAGGAGGAGGAATAAGAAGGGAGAGAAGAAAAGACTCTCCAGACAGTGTATATAACAGCTCAATAAGCGAGCTAAGTTAGGCAGTAAGATACTAAAGAAGCTAACCTTGAACCTTTGGTAACCACGAATCTAAAGCCTGCAATGGCAATAAGTACATATCTCTCAATAGTCACCCTAAATGTAAATGGACTTAATGCACCAATCAAAAGACATAGAGTAATAGAATGGATAAAAAAGCAAGACCCATCTATATGCTGCTTACAAGAAACTCACCTTAAACCCAAAGATAAGCATAGACTAAAAGTCAAGGGATGGAAAAACATATTTCAGGCAAACAACAGTGAGAAGAAAGCAGGGGTTGCAGTACTAATATCAGACAAAATAGACTTCAAAACAAAGAAAGTAACAAGAGATAAAGAAGGCCACTACATAATGATAAAGGGCTCAGTCCAACAAGAGGATATAACCATTCTAAATATATATGCACCCAATACAGGAGCACCAGCATATGTGAAGCAAATACTAACAGAACTAAAGAGGGAAATAGACTGCAATGCATTCATTGTAGGAGACTTCAACACACCACTCACCCCAAAGGATAGATCCACCGGGCAGAAAATAAGTAAAGACACACAGGCACTGAACAACACACTAGAACAGATGGACCTAATAGACATCTATAGAACTTTACATCCAAAAGCAACAGGATATACATTCTTCTCAAGTGCACATGGAACATTCTCCAGAATAGACCACA